AGTATTTGGAAAAGCTGGCGAGGAGGAGCTGCTTGCAGACGAAAAAGATGAAAAGTTTGTTCGCTTGCTTACGCTTAGGGAAACTTTTTACGAGTCATTTTTGTACGAGGCACAGTGGCGAGTAAGTGTGCAAACTGGTAACTTTGATGTTTTAGTCAGCTGCAGTTAATAACTTTGTTCTGAGTCACTTTTGCATCTAGCAACTTTTCGAGTTGCTTTTGCCAGTGCTGCTTCATCTGATGGTTAGCACGCTAGCAGTTCTGACGCTTTCTTCATCCCCTGATGGATTATCAGCCCGACGTTTTTTTTTCCAACAAATGCACTTTAATAGGACTTTAGCGTTTCGAGACACTTTTGATGATGTTGAGTATTATCAGTGCTTTTTGAGTTTTACACCTCCTAGACGACTATGAGGCATTTTTCCGACTCGGGGCGTCAAAAATGCACTCACAATGAACTTTTTGAAAAAATATCCCGAGGTTATTTGTTTCACTGATAAGTTGGTACTGAGTCACGGTGAAAGAAGGCGCGAGAGGAGGAAGGGGGAATTGGGGTGAGGAATAGGACGGATCACCTTTGGATCATTTCTCATTGTGAATTACATCCCGATCCAGTGATATTTTTTGGAGTGCGCGAGTGTTTTAGGACACAGTTACGTCCGGACCCGTTACGACAGCTTATTCAGTGCTTCCAGCGTGCGGCAACCAGTGAGCAAAGTCAGACGATCTCAATTGCCAACGATTCGCTTTTTGTAAATTTTGCACAAGTGATGTCAAAATCGGTACATATTGAAGATGAAGATGAAGGCGGCGATGATGAAGGCGAACTCGACCAAGCGGTTTGTTCTTGACTTTTATAAGTGCAGTAGTCAGAATTTTACTAAAAAAATGTTCATATCAAAGGGAAATAATTAAAAAAAAAAAAACTAAAAAATAGTTCTTGAAACGCTAAAAATTTTCATATGGGACAGGCAGAAATTGGAAAATACGACTGTTCAACCGAGTGAGGTGGGTATCTGAAAGCATAAACTCGTTTTAAAAGCAAGAGCAGCAGTTTGGCGTTTTTGGCTCTGTAAAATGCTATTTGGATAATGGATAGAACTGAAATATCATTTTAACTCACTTCTGTTTCTATGTAGTATTTTTTGATTTTGAGTCTTTTCTTCAGCTAAATTCCACCCACTTTTAAGCTGCTCCTCCCCTCCCGCCGCGTCTCCTGTACCTCGTCCCCCCCCCCCCCCCCCCCCCCCCCCCCCCCCC